CAATATTGGGTGCTCCGAAACCTTGGACTCTATCATAAAGTTGTCCAGTGTTGATAGGACGCTTGCCTTTATTGAGTTGGTGCCGCAGACAGCCAGCGGAGAGATGGATGTGTGAAATGCATTCATATATTTATATTCAAAGTCGTAGATTGAGATTGGCTCATTCAACCAATGCATCAGATGTGTTGCTCGGCTTAAAAAGTCGGGATCCTCAAGCAGAATCTGTTCCAGTAAATATTCCAGTGATATTTTCATTTTGTCGCGATATTAGAAAATTTAAAAACGCAGTTACTTTTGGAATTTCTTTCTTATTTTTTGTGGTTGTTGTTTGTGTTGCAACGAGTAGCAATCTTTGATTAAATAAAAATATGAAAATTTGTTGACCAATGATAATCGAAATTTCCGAAACAAAATGACAACCTGTATGAATTTGTTGTTGTTTTTTAATTATTTTTGATTGGCACACTATGAAATACGAAACTCGTCTGGGAAATACGTTTGGGATAGGCAGGGTCTAGATATGCTTTCAAAAACAGCACTATCTGATTGAAAAAAATAAGCGAATATTTTCCCAAGGTGTGTATATGAATATATAAAACATATATGTACTTAAATATGTACATATGTAGTTACATAGATACAAATGTGTTATGTAGGCACCCCCATAGAGGAAACTCTTAACAACGAGAGCTGTGCCAAGGGATATCCTTTAACGAAAGCTACACAAATTTGTCTGCATATAACGTATTATATATAACGTAACATTCCGTAGCGTAACATTCGCAAAGATTAGATTGGTGTGCACTAAGTATCGTTACGTGCTAGCAGAGGGCGTTTACCTTGTTCCCAATTGCCATTTCCAACGATCGCTAGAAAGAGAGCACACAACAGCTGCTGACTCAAAGCAACTGTTATTATTCTCACTCGAATAACAGCTGCAACTCTCCCTCCTTCCTCGCTCTTTGAGTGGTGGTGCTTGCCTGAATCATCAGCTGTTTTGAGGTCTTGCCCTGCCCCAACCGGCAAACGAAAGCAATTAAGCCGCACAACAAATCGACAAGGGCAGAGGAGGGGTATAGCAGACTGCCAGACGACTGTCGGCGACGACTAACGCCCGCTGAGAGTGCCTTGTTGTTAGTGTTGCTTCTGCTATTTTTTTTTTCTCGTTTTTTTGCAGCACATGCCAAAAACTATGCTACACGACAAAAATTAAAACTACATTTCGCTCAAAGCTCTAACGGAAGGAAGCAACTATGTACTCTTTTGTGTGTGTGTGTGTGTGTGTGTGTGTGCTGGAGTGTGTGTGCATGATTGTCCAACATTTTTGTGTCGCTTGTAGCTTGGTTCGCAGTCCCACCGAGTCTCACTCAGTTAGCAGACTGTTCCATTCAGTTGGTTAGCGAATTCCTGCGAGTCAACAACTTGCCAAAAAAAAAAAAAAAAAAAGAGAAACGAAAAAAGAGAACTGAACTGAGGATTATTTCAGCAATTTATCAAGTTCGATTCGATTTGGTTTGTGTTTGTGTCTGGAGTCTGTGATTCACAATGGTGGCCATCCATTTGCATTTGAATTGTAAGTAAACTTTAGACTTCCTTATGGGGGGTAAACTTTGATGTTAGAACTTCGAACTGAGAAGGAAAAAAAAGTGATTTCCCATATGCTCGATACTCCCAGAGAGCACATTTATGCCGTAAATAAATTCAAGGAACACAGTCAAACTCGAAACACTTAAATAGTGCTATTATCTATATATTTACACAAAATTATTGCACTCAAAGAATTATATTCTAGTCCTAAAACTACTTTTAAGTGTTAAGTACAACCTCTGGCTGGCTTTTTATGCCACTTTTATATTTTCAGGCAAAAAGAGCTACCTTATTTCCCTCTGACTTTCCGGGGCTGGGGCATAACTTTTACCCTTGATGTTTTACTGAAACTTTCCACTCACGCCCCCACATTTTTCGCCCATTTTCCTTATGCATATATGAAAATTGTTTTAATTGAAGTCTTGCCAGCGTAAAAAATTGTTAATTGAACATGCATGGCGATGCCATTAAAGTTGCTGCCTTGACACATTCCAAAAAACAAAGAACAAAAGACAGAGAGAGCGACAGAGACAGAGGCAGACCCTGCCACGCCCCGAGCAGCAGGAGCAGCGCAGTTCCTTCGTTGGCCCCCACAATAGTATCAACTGCTGACTCATACAAATAATTTAATTAAATGGAAATTAAAATGCTTTTATGAATATTAAGTAAAAGGCAACAGACAAGGCACTTCTGGGGGCTCTTCATTCCATTACGTTTTTCCTCTTCTTTTGAGCAGCATATTTTCATGTCTTTGCCATTCTTTGCCACTGGGTGTGATAATTATTGAAAATGTTTCCTATCCCTCTGCTCTGGTGTGCTGGCTTGTGTTCCGTTGTTGGCGGACAAAAAGTTTTTATGCTCGAAATGGAACATTTTAGGCAAAAGTTTTTTGGAGTGCTTCCAGCGGGTAATACTCGTATGTACATAGAAAGAGTGTAAAACTCTTCAACAAGAATTGTAAAGCCAACTTACGAGTACGAGTATATGCAATATTTTTTAGCTAACTTTTTGGAATATGCTGTGCTGTGCTGTATGCAAAAAACAAGGCAAAAAGTGAATTGCTATAATTGGATTTTGGCTATTGCACTTCATTTGGGGTAGGGTAAGTGAATGGGTACGCAAAAAACTTGAAATGGAAAACATAATTGGATATGCCACTAAAAAATATACAGCAAAAAAGGAAGCAAAACTTTGAAGCATTACAAAATATGCAACATTTCTTACAGTAATTTGCAGGATTTTCCAGAAGTTGTTTCGCCTCCAAATATACATATACAAAATTACCAAATTGCTATATATGTGGATAATTTTTTTTGGGCTGCATTTTTGAATATCTTCCTATCTCTCCCGATAGGATATAGAGAAAATACTCTTACTTTATTTAAAAGAGTGTGGTAGCGTAATCTTGCTGCAACCCAACCCATCTGACATATCCGAACCTTGCTGAAGAAACTGGCATTAAGTCATCTCCCTAGCTATTAATTTTTGAACCTTTCACACATTTAACCCGAAAAGAAATCACCGGAAATGTGTTGCCCACCAATTAATTAATGAAGACAAACACTTTAGTCATTCAATTAACTTACACAAAATCAACAGCAACACACGCACAGTAATTAAGTTCCCTTTTGGGTTAAGCTGTAATTCTCACTCTTCTTCTGCTTTAGTCCCTGATGTCCTGTGTGATGTGTGATTGACTATCTCTGACGACATGACTCTATACTATATGTACATATGTGGGTTGCTCCCTTTCGGCCTTACTCTTTTGACATTTATTTTGCAATGTCATCAGATGTTGGTGCCTGCTGCCGCTTTCCTGGCTTTTTTGAGCTCTGATAAATCGCTTCCCTCAGCTGTCAACTGTCATAAGCAGGATTTTCGAGAGAAATCCCTGCCCCTCCCCCTGCCCCTTTAAAATGGGGTTCATTGTGGGGAGTATATTAATACGAGTATAAGACCAGGCCATCAACACTTTATCATGTCGTTTCAATTAAAATCATGTCAGATTTATAGCAAATTTTGTGGGCACACCCACACATAGAACCATTGAAGGCAGAACCTTAGGCAGCCGAGGGGAGGGAGGGTCCGTCCTTCTTTATTTCATTTAGCACAAATTGTTGGCCGGATTTTTAATTAAAAGCGTGAAATGTCAACGGCTCTTTTTATTGCTGCAGTGGGTCCTTCCTTCCTAGCGTGGGATGGGGGAATGTACTACATTAAGTACGAGCACATAAAATGCAAGTTGGCGAAACTCTCTCTTCTCGCAAAATATTTTAATTGAGGTCAAACGCTGTGAGCTGTGTGTGTGTGCCATGCTTTGGTGTGGTGTAGGTAAGTGTAGTGTGTTCGGGTATGTGGATGCATTTTACGCTGCTTTAAATTTGTATAATGATGCTTATTATGTTAATGAGAGTTTTTAGTTGGGTCCTGCGGCCAAGAACGGCTTGAATATGGAGTTAACAAGCCCTGGGGTCCAACAAAATAAGCACAAAAACCGATCCCTCCCTACCAAAACTCACGCGCTAAAAAAGTATTTGGGCAAAGTTTTCCTGCACGGGCATAAGTAAAGAAAACAACAAAAAGGAAAGGCTAGACATAGGTTTGGATCACACTTTGGTGCCCCAGTTGGTTTTTCTTTATTTTACGTATGGAAATGTGTACAAATATAAATAAACTTCCACAGATTTATTTAATTATTTCAAGTAAATGCAAACATTTTGCATCAGTCATGACGCAAAACAAAAAAAAATTAAGCGTTTCTGTGCACTATCGAAGATAGTGATTATAAAACTTGAAAAAACATCGATGCATCGATATTAACATCGTTTTTTCTCCATCTCTATCTCGTATTTCTCTGACAGTGAAACAAACTGTACTGTTAAGTGCGCAATGCAGTGTGTTATGTGCGAAATTTGTGCTGTTACGTTGCCAAAAGCCTCTGTTCCGACGCGTAATTCAATGATATAATGTGAAGAAAAAACATGACTTTAATTTATTAAAAATGGCTATTGCCTGTAACCACTAAGATATGTGCTTTTGATACCATATTTCTAAGAAAGAAGCACTGCTTTGATTTAACTGAAACATGCCTTTAGTTTAATAGCCCATTCGAATCAACTTTGCCGGAGACGCAGAATCGAAAAGCAACATGAGCGAAATCCACAGTTTTCTTGTTGCCTATCGGGACCGTGAAAGAACAGCTGATACACAGATCAGGAATATATGTTCAACCATTATTCCTGAAGTGAAAAGTGAGAGCCGGGGGCAAAAACTGTGCTTTTTTAATTTTAGTAGCATTTTTTCCGCGTTGTCTAGTGGTGGCAAAATCGTAGCGTCTATTCGGAACATTCGATTATTTTTGCTCATTTTTGCACTTCTGCCTATCGGCGTATGTGATATCTGTGTCATCTCTCTTTCCTGTTTCGTTTGTCATAGATGTCGGTTCTTTCGCAAGCGGACCGAAGTTAATAAATTCAAGCAAAAGCATAAGTGTATATTGTAAACAGCACAAAAGTGCGGCTCAAGTTTAATCAAATCGAGTGATATTCAAAGTAAAAGCAGGTATTGGCAGTATTTTATGAAACATTTTATTCTTTGGCAAAAGGCGGCGCAAGTTTTTTTTTTGTGTGCGGCCCCCGGCACTCGCTTAATTTTTCTTTTCTGGTTTTTGTGTGTGTGTTTTTTTTTTGATGTTCAATTTGTTTGTGCGCTGCGTTAAGTGTTTGTTTAAGTAAGATCGAGTTTCAATAAACATCAGTCGCGAAGAGTTTTATGTCCCCGAAGCCCGCATAATTTTGCGCCATTTTATTTTTTTTTTCGAGCGTGCCTGGTGTATGTGCATTGTGTTAGTATGTGCATGTGCCGGCGTTTTTGTCCAATTTCAATTTGTCTGTCTGCATATTCATTGGTTTTAGGCTATGTACATCTGTCCACTAATAAGTTTTCAGTAAATGCAGCTTCATATATACATATATTAGCTCTAGAAAAGTGCGTAAATTGCATACGTTAAAGGTACATAAACAGCTTCTGGAATATGTACATAGTATGTACTACATACCTATGGTAAACATACATATGTATGCATGTACAGCGGCTTCTAGAAATTTCTGCGCCGAAAACACTTCACACAGACCCCGTTTTTTTTGTGTTGGTTTTTTTAAAACACATTTTACTAGGCCCTGAAATATCTGTAATCCAACCCGGCAAACTTCTTCAAAGTAAATCCAGATATTGCTTGTTTAGTAAATTCTCTGCGATTTGTTGTGTGCCTTGCCTTGCCGTGCCGTGCCGTGCCGTGCTGCTGCCTTTTGCCCAAGTTTGCCAACGTACGCGGCAGAAAAAGAAACAGAAAAAAACATTTAGTCATCATAGTCTCATCCCTCCCTTCACACAGAATGCATCCGGATGAGCCACCACAGTCGGATAGCTCTGCCTTAGATAATGCGCTGAACGTCTTAGCACAGGTGAATGGCAACGCCTATCAAATGAATTTGCTGCCAGATCGTCACATTGGCTTTCCGTGCCGTCAGTGCCAGATGGTCGACTATGCCGGACTGCGCTATACGTGCTTTCACTGCAAGAATTATCATCTGTGCGGCATTTGCTACTCGGACAATCATATGCCGGCATCGCCGAATCACAAATATTATCACATAATGCAGGTGTTCTACACCCGTACGGCGTTCCAGCTGTACTATGACGGGGAGGAGCCGTCCACCAGCCCCATGGACATGCAGAGCTTCAAGTGCGCCCTGTGCCAGCGGCTGGGATTCACCATTGAGACGCTGTACCAGCATCTGCTGGAGATGCACCGTGACCATGCGGACTACAAGGATTACCTGCTGATGGCTTATTCGTATTACTTTGTCGACTACACGTCGAGACATCCGGGTGCTGTTCCGCTGATCGCCGCCCAGGTCGTGGGGGGATCGGGATCCCGTTTGCAATTGCCAGCGCCAGCACCAGCCCCAGCCCCATTAGCGCCTCAACAAGCTCCCATGGCAGCGGCTTGGAACCCACCAATTGCTGGCCAATCTGCGGTAGTTGCAGCCGCAGTTCCAGTGCCATTTCATCCGATCGCCGGTCAGGCCACAGCGGGGTCGCCATTCCAACTCCAATTGCCAGCGTCATTGCCGCCAGCTGCAGCTGCAGCTCCAGTGCCAATAATTCAGCTTGAGATACCAGGTTTGGCGCCAACAGCACCAGCAGCAGCCCCAAGGACCGTTTACCGTTCGACAGCCCGTGCCCCCATCACTGAGGCAACCATTGTGGCCATGGACCGTGTGTTGTTTGGGCTGCAGCGTGTGATGGATCGGCTGCTCAATCTAGACTTAAATATCGACAGTTACGAAGCGCACTGCACGGGACTAGTGATGCGGGCACGCAGCCTGCGCGAACAGTTTTCCCACCTACAGGCCAACAATATAGCCCACAATGGCATCGCCAGCAATGTCGATCGCATCTGCCGCCTGATCGAGATGGAGGGGATTTCACGCCTACGAGCGCGTTGGGAGTCACCGCCAGTGCCCACAAGTCGCCCACAAGTCCCGTTCAGTTCGGTCTCCAGCAGGCCAATCAATCGACGCGTCCGTGAGGTGACGTCGACTAGGCTGCAAGAGCCGCCCCTACCACCGGCAGCTGCCAGTCGTCGTGCCGCTGCTATGCCGCCGCTGCACGCACCAACGGAGGGATCGAACGGAAATGTCAATGCACGTCAGCACCACTTGAATACGTTCTTCCTGTGCGATCAGTCGGCGATTCGTAGTCCCTCTGTCGGCCGCGGTTTGCCGAATTTAACCCGCGCCCATAATGTCAACCCATTGAACCTCGACAGCGTTGCGAACCGACACGGCTCGTACCTCACAAGCTGGCAGGCTGTGCCGCAAAACCGTCAGGCTGTGCCGCAAAACCGTCAGGCTGTGCCGCAATACCGTCAGGCTGTACCGCAAAACCGCCAGGCTGTTGTGCCGAACACAATCCTCGTGGGTCCGCTTGGGGCCACACCCGTGGGTCTGTTTGGGCCACCACCAAAGAAGAGCGACAACATCACAGAGCTGGTTACTGGTGCCGAGCCAAAGCTGAAGAGCATAGATAAACCGAACGACAAATGGGATCTCACTGATGATCGTTTTTGCTGCTCAAAGCTGAAAAAGGCCTTTGAAAAGATGCCTGGAAACACTGAACACGACAGAAAGGTGTCCAAGGCACGTTTCGTGAATGCTGTCATCTGCTCCATGCTCACCGAGGAGGAGCTCAGCTCCGTGCCACTGGACTTGCACTCGATGCAGGAAATGCGCGCCAATCAGACACCGCCCAATGCCACAACAGCTGGGGCTATCAGCGAGCTGAAGCCACTGGCGGAGCAGCTCAACCAAGGGCCACGTTGCATGCCGGTGACCCAGAATGTGGGCCAAGCCCGTGAGTCGGGCGTGAATGCCATGACCAAGTATCTTAAAGGTCTCGTGGATTATCATCACTGGTTGGACCGTTTAACCCAGAATATTGAAGCCAAGAAGGGATCCAAAGAGAGTGAAGACAAGAAGAAGGGATGCAAGGATCCAGAGGCCCAGGCAACATCCAGCAATCGTCACCTGGAGAACATATTGCAGATCAATTCATCGGCCGATTACGGTCAAGATGGACACATTCTCGGTGCTGGGATAAACGGCAGTAACGACCTGAATCCAATAGCATTTATTGATAGCAACGATGGCGATGCCGATGACGACGAAAGCTATGACGAGGAAAGCAAGGCTGGCACTGATTTTGCCAACGATGACAATGACAATGGCAATGGTGATGGTGCCGATAATAATAACAATACCGATGCGAACAACAATGAAGACAACAACTCTCCACCCTTACACATTGATATTTTCAACACACTGAATAACGGCATTGGGGCGCCAGAAGGAGAAGAAAATCAGCAGCCACTTGCAGCTGCAGCTGCAGCTGTGGCAGTGCCAGCTTCAGATGTTGCAGCAGCCGTTCCAGCCATCATTGATGATGCTGAGATAATTTATGTGCCAGGTTCGGACAGCGAAGCATCTGATGACGATTCCAATGAGCTCGACTATCTCTTCGAAGATGATGACAGTTATTTTGGGGAAGAGTATTGAAACCACAATATGCCACAATATTATTAAATGTAAAACGAACATAAAATAAAAGAAAGAAAGCAAGTAAACAAAGGAGAAAGAAAGAAAGCAAGTAAACAAAGGAGAAAGAAAGAAAAGAAAAAGCCAAAATATTCAGCAAAACAGGAAACTACATGTAAAACATAAAAATACTAATAATAATTCTGGAACAGAAAAAAACAAAAAACATTTCAGATCAAAATTCCATAATTTCAAAGAAATATTGACTTTACAGAAAATTTATATATATATATATATATCATATATAACTGTAGTTATTACCAATAAAAAAGAGTTCCTACGCAAGTTTAGTTGCATTAGAAATGTGTTTGGACTTGAGACCTGTTGAAAAAAGGTTCAATTGGAAAGAGAAGGATTTGCTCAAGCATTAACAATATAATATATAGTTTGTTGGTCTGAATCGAAAGCAGTCTCCAATTTTATGCATAGCTATCTCTATAGGCAGTTAGCAGCTAGCAATAAGTAGTTTTATTTTTTATATTTATGCCAAACTTAAGGAGAATTGGAACTGAGGCTCCAGATTTCGGACAAGGCTTTCGCATTTCTAATTCGATATCTGCCATTCAGATCTAAACAGAGCTGCGATAGCTACAGGCCCCTCTCTACGAGTATGACTGCTACGATTGATTACTTCTATTATTTTGTGCACTTGTCAGAAATAAACAAAAAATATCTAGCCAAGCAAAGCAGGCAGTGCCTTTCGAGTAGTTCTCAGAGTAGCTTCGTGTCGGAATGCCTCACAATTATCGTTGATACCGTTCTCGTTACATCGTAGTTTAATAAATACGAGAAACAAATTCATTTTTTCAAACCTTCTACGAACCGGAAGTTTCATTCTTTTTGGAACACAAATTTTGAGCTGGAAAAATAATCAAGAAAAAGTCCAAAAATCGTGCCAAGAGAGAATCTCCCTTTGATATCTTTTCGATCGCGTAAATCTGTTGTTGTTGTTGCGTGTCGCAATGTCTTCGGAGTGTCCGGTGGTGCACCGCAAGTGCTCGGGCTGCCCCGCCCACGGTGATCTTGGACGTTGGTACGAGTGCGTTGTTTGCGGCTCTCAGATGACCGTCTGCGGAGCCTGTTTCGATCAGGACAAGAATCGCGTCAGCCCCAAGCACAAATACTATCATCCCATGCGTGCCTTCTACAATAAGAAAATGCTGGACATCTACTTTGGCGGCGAGGAGTTGGTGAACGGCGAGGCGCCGCAGAGCTTCAAGTGTCCCTTCTGCGATGAGCTGGGCTTCACCGCCGAGGAGCTGATGGTCCATGTGGAGAAGAAGCATTCCACCCATCCGGATGCCAGTGCATTGATAAAAATATTGGAGACCATGTGGAATGCTGGCATTGCTGGTGTTCGTGGTGGTGGGCAGGATGCCATGGAGCAGCAGCACTCGTGTGGTATACAGGATGTGGAAAAGTTATGTGAGTAGACGGGTAGAGTAGAGTAGTAGAATGGACCACCAGGAGGGAGGGAGTCTTCGTCCCATCGACTCTCGACCACAAAAGCCACTTTGGGAAATTGCTTTGGCAGCGTTGCCAGCTAAATGGTCCGGCCAGTGCGAAGAGAATGGTTTTGAAAGGGTTACGGAATCCTGAATCTGAAAGTTAAATGAAGATGGCTTTGCCCTGCTCCTGCCCATCCTGGCCACCATTTTGTGGTTTGTGTGGGCGGCGGAGGCCCATCAAATCTGTCAGCCTAATAGACTTCAACACTTGACCTCGTCCAAGACATCATTACTCAAAGCCAGAGGACACGACGCCACACAGTGTGGGATGGTGGAGGGAGGGGGGCAGGCAGAGAGGGAAAGTGATGCTGAAAGTGAACCCAAAAGCGAGTGTCATGATTGACAGTCGGACAAATGGTAGGACTAACCGACGGATGGACGGACCGACGGACACCTACTCGAATAATGGCAAATTATGTGTCAACAGCAATCATCCTGGGACACCTACGCAGCAGCTCTGTTCTGTCCCTTTGCTAGAAGTCGATGATATATTTCGGTATATGTATGGGTATGGTATAGTAGGGGGGGGGAGCACTTCCTTCTCTTGTGTATATATATTTTTGTTTTGACAAATAATTTTCCACTTCATTTGATAGTCCCCTCCCCTCTGATTAAACAAAAGCCTCGTCCCCCCGCCCTATCTGTCTCTGTCAGTGTTTTGGGCTGTGGGGTGTTGGTGGATTGGGTGGATTTTTGCTGATGCGAATTGTTTGTGATTTGTTCTCGGGTTCCGTCTAGGGATTGCGATATCTACGATTAGACATGGCTCTGTGCTCCAGTTGCTGTTTGTTTAACATTTCTGGTGCGTAAATATGCAATCTATATGCTGTATATATTTTTATGCTTAAAATGCAATAATGCTAGATTAAATATCCAACTTTAAAGGTGCTGCAACTAGATTCTGATGTGTAAGCAAATTAGAAATGGAACTTCAGCTAGTTCTTTGAACTACTGATTGAATTTTTTTTTTATTTATTTGCATTTTATTAATTTTAGGGCTAATATAAAATAATAACTTAAAAATATGCGAGCACTAGCCACTGGGGCCTTTAGCTCTGCTGTTGCTAATGAATTTAATTTAATAGATTTAATGAAAAACCTAGAGCTATAATGTTGCCATAACTTAGTATGCATTCAAGTTCCTACATTTACTTTAAATCTGTATTATAAATAATAATCTTAAACTGTTGAAAGAACTCCCCAAAAACTTCTGAATTGCTATTCAGTTATTTTCACACTTTGCCTGCTGGGGCTGCGGAATATGCATTTTCCAGTGCATTTAATTTTAATAATTGTTCCGTGTGAAAATTCGCATTTTATTCGGTTTTCTTTGCCACTTTACTGTGTTGCCCTGCTCTGGCTCCGCTCCGTGTGTGTGTGTGTGTGTGTGTGTGGCACCATTCTGCCTATCATTGTCAGCGAACAACTTTGCCGGTTTTCTCGTTTGGTGTGTGGCGGCGCTTACATGAATTATGGTTTGGCTCTCGGAAAAAGTGTGAATATGTCCTGAAGGCAATGGATATGGATATTACGGGTGCGGTGCGGTCCGGTGCGGTGCGGTGCGGCGGTGCATTGGAGAGTGCAGCGAGGCGTGGCCATTAATCAAAATGCGCTTAAAAAAGTGCGAAGCCCAACTGTGAATGCAAATGCAAATGGGGGCCAGAGAACCCAAAAAACAAAAGTTAATGGATATTTTGCGGGCAGAGCCAGAGACTTTTGCCAGAATGCAATTAACTTTGAGCGAGTGTTTTTCCACTTAAATTGCTTTATACGCTTAATACTTTCATCTGTTAAGAGTGCCGGGATATATCCGTATTTGTGTGGATGTTCAATTCGAAGTTACTTCGATGGAGTCCCATTTGTTGATCCGTATTTGTGTGCTTGTATTCTTAGCGACATGTGGCATCGATTGGGGGGGATGCGATGCCCACGCAGAAGCTTTCGTTGTGTGAAATCTGACAATGAGCCACAAGCTCATCCCAACTTCTGACCCCCACTGACCTCCACTGTTTATTCCTGCACTTTTTTGGTTTTCGGTCACGGCTTTTCGGCCTTAAATGCGCAAAAGACACAAAAGGCATCGTGCATGAGGGGGTGGGGGGCGGAGGCATTGCAAAAATGATGTCATACGAGCCACCAAGCAGAGGGTGGCTTAAGGGTGAACTGGACTGGACTTTCACCCTCCTCGACCACAACTTTATATTTATAGCAGCGCCCACCCCCCGCCCCCAATGCACATATATTGAATTTCTTTAACGGCTCCCCATCTCACTTGGCATCTTCTCTTTCTCGTTTACAGCCACTGAGATTCGCTGCCAGGAGAAGTCCCGCGGCGGACTGAGCTATGAGGTCATTCTGGCCGAACCGGCACCCAATGTGGCCGTGCCCAAGCGTCCGGTCACCCCCGGCAAGAACGTCAGCGTCGAGGAGATTGAGCAGAAGCTCAAGGCAGCCGAAGAACGTCGCATTGTAAGTATTAGTCGTACGCCCCTTTTCGGAATCGTTGCCCTAACAAAGCGAATTTGTTTACTTTTCGCAGTCTCTGGAGGCCAAGAAGATGGCTGATATCTCGAACAAGTTGGCCAAGGTAGATGAGGCCACCCGCAAGAAGGATGAGATCACCAATGAGTTCATCACTCAGACCAAGGAGCAACTGGAGACCAAGATGGAGTTGCATGTGGAGAAGCGCGAGGCCATCATCAGTGACATGAAGGAGAAGCTAAAGGTTGGATTTCGATACATCGATTCTATAGTATTTATCCTTGAACTCACACATAAACTCTTTCTGTACAGATTCATGCTCAGGAGATTGAAAAGACGCGCGAGACTTTGGAGCAGCAGAAGGCCAATGAGCAGAAGGCCATCGAAGAGAAGCTTAAGATTGCTCAGGCTTTGCGCGATGAAAACATTAAGAAGATGCTCAATCGTCTCAAGGAGCATGTGAGTGTAGTGTGTGCATACACCAGACAGCATCAGCATGGCTTCGTATTTCGAAAATGGCCTGAAAGAGAGCTGCTTTTAGATGATTTAATCTCCATACTCTAGTTCCTTTGATCTGTTTGTAGTTGCTTTACTTAGACGATAGACTAGACGCATGTAGTATAAATGTAGAAGCGAAATTCGCCAAAAATTCAATTCAAATCTGCATAGAATTTCCATTGGAAAGACAATTTATTATTGTATATAAAAATTGCATCCCAGCTTTGCTCTAAAATATAATTAGCTATCTGCTTCAACCACAAATACCCAATGTGAGAGAGAAGCTTTCATGCATCCACTATTTGTAGGATACACCGTCCAGTATTTAGATCTTATTCAACAATAATTACATTAGGGATGCGGAAGTTGATCGATCTTTTCTGCGGCTTAAACCATTAACATATTAGAAATTCACCCTAAGAATCAACAGCACAAGCACTTTCCAGCAATTATGTTGAATGAATTAATTCTCGAAACCATTTAGAATCTTCAGCAACTAAATTTCATATCATCAATCTTAGCTAAATTGGGAAAAATAACCAAAAATGTAACATAACTGATTTCGAATTAGCTTTCAACCTATTAATTTCCTCCAACTATCCAAAAATATTCCCAGACTTTCATAAATCTTTCTTTTCGTCTAAATATCTGTGTGTACCGTGTACTGTGTATATGTATGTTTGTTTTTCGGATCATGTGTATATATAATTTTTGTTTTTCATTTCTCTTATATCCTCTCATTTAGAACACTGTCAAAATTGCCGAGATTAAATCACACCAAGATCAATTGGAAACACAAAAGATAGAGGAGAAGGCGCGCATTTATGAGAATAAATTGTTCGCCGCCGAGCAGAACCGCGAAAAGGAGATACAAAAGAAAATCGAAAAAGTGCAAAAACTTGTACGTTTGTTCCCACACCCCCTCTTTACCCATGAACATAAATGCATATGCCTTATCATTTGAGTAGCAGTAGTTCTCAAGATAAGAAACCCACCCTGCTAGATCCCCAACTAATTCTATATTTTCGTTATGTTATTTGCAGGAGCGCCGTGCCGAGCTCGTGCGCCAGAACAAGGCCCAGACCCAGGATATGGATGGGCAGCAGAATGCCATCGCCTCGTCGGGTTAGAGGGGCTGTGCAGGGCGTAGACCGTCATTACTTACTGCAAAAAACAAAAAAAACAAAAAAAAACAAGAATAGAGGGACACTACCACTACAACGGCAACACTACATACACCAACAACACAAACACAACACAACATATTTAAGCGAAAACAAAAACAAAAGGCAGCAACAAATTTGCTTCAAGACAATTTCAAGTATTATAAACGACATAGGAGGACGGGGCAGGGCATATCGAATATCTCAAGATTCCGCTGAGCGAGATGAGGCCCTAAAAAGATATAGCAACAACCAGCAACATTTACTCACGAAACTTTTCAACAAAACACAAAGCAAAGCAAGGCAAAACCCCGAAAGATATAGCGGCAAAATCAATTTAAGCATAAAATCTATATACAACAACAAAAAAAAAAAAAAGAAGCCTTTCAAAATACGTTTGCTTAAGTTCGAATTTCTCGTTTTACATTTGTTCAATTTGATTTTTAATTATATTAAACAATTTTTAAACACATTCAAAGCTCCTCCTCTTACATTCTGTCGTAAAAATTAACGAGAAATTCGAAACAAACGTATTTTGAAATAAAAGCCATACAAAAAAAAAATAATTAATTTTGCCTCGAAACATTTGTTGTACTGCTATTTGCCAGAAAACCAATATTCACAAGATCTATCATTTAAACAAATATATATTATAAATACGTGTATAATTTAACCTTATTTTTTATCTATTAACATACGCAAAAAACAATACAAAAAAATTAAAAAAAAAAAAGGAAAACAAAAGTTGGAGCCAGTTTCGACACTAACAATTAAAGTTTTAAGTTTCGCATTTTCTATCTATAAAATAAATGTCAAACAGAAAAAAATACATGAGAAATGCTTATAAGAAATAAATAATAAAAAAAAAATCAAATACAAAGTAAAACAAAACACTGCATTTTCGTTTCATTTACAGACAACATAAACAATTTAAACACAATTTAGGCATTAACATAAATTAAAAACTAAACTAAAATATATAAATATAAATAATTATATATGGAATGATATGGAAAATCATATTTTGTCTAACGTCGAGTTATATTTAGAGAAAAAAATGGCGCAGATTTTTGGCCGGAAATTGATGGGGGGAATTATAATAAAAAACGAAAATGGAAAATTTAGGCAAATTTTGTTCGCAGATGCTGCGAATATTTTCCCCAAACTTTGGTTTTGCACGAGAAAGGGCGCTGAATTTAGCTTAAATTTGAATATCTCTCTCATACCGTTATAAATGTGTAATACTATGGCTAATATAACGGAATATATATTATATATATTATAAATGCAAGACAACTATACGCACAGAGCCCCCAACAGCAACCCAGACAGGAGAAATCATTCCAGACATATTCAAAAGAAAAAGCTAAGGAAACTTGAAACACGAAACCCACATTGCAAGTGCATCAATACAATTGATAAAAATGCTTCGATATTTAATCAATTTATGATATATTACTAACATACATGTGTAATCAATTCCAATAATCCAATAAACCGAACGAAACTTTTGTATGAGAAAACGAGCAAAGAAATGAACGAAACGAAGGTTACATTTTCCAAATCAATGTTCTCTATAAAATATAAAACAAACACAAGTACGACAGCTTACGAAAATGGTTTTTTCTAGGTTCACGCATAACTTAACATTAAGTTTACATAAGCAACAAAATAAATGACGATAAGCAAGCAAAATACTTATAAATGAATGTATAATAAAAGTGCATAATACAAATAAATGAAATATTTATAATTGGTAGAAAATGCGTTTTAATCCAATAAAAGGGAGTCTCTATAAGGTAATATAGAGAATCGATTTATCGAGTCCTAGCCAGCTAGTAATATTGAACCGAATATCAAAATCGAGGAATATGATTAGTGATCAACATTGTCGACGAGCCCAAACAAATCATGAAACTGGAATTTTAGGGCAGTTCAGCTGAAAGATATCGTTTTAATTTTGTTGTTGTAAGTAAAAAGGTAGGTTGTACATATCTTCGTGTATTGTATTTCGCGGTTCAACTCAAGTTGTGCACTTGTATAAATAGAGGGGGCTTAAGTGGGCTCATTTATGGTATATCAGTATATATAATTTTTTGGTATATTACAGTATATTTCCTTGCATCAAACGGTATATTTTGTTGATAAATCTGCGGTCACACTGCTTGTGAATCACAAGTGAAAATTAAGTAAAAAAGTGAATTTTAAACATTCAAAAATCAAACGATTGGCAACAAACGTTAGCAACAATAAGCCCACACAATGGCCGCCACACTGAAACCCTATCTTACTGCCGTGCGGCACTCGCTGACCGCCGCCATGTGCCTGCAGGATTTCCCCTCCCAAGTTGTAGAGCGCCACAACAAGCCGGAGGTAGAGATCTGCTCCAGCAAAGAGCTGGTGCTCACGCCCATTGTGGTGTCCCGCAACGAGCGGGAGAAGGTGCTGATTGAGCCATCGATCAACTCGGTGCGTGTGAGCATCTCCGTGAAGCAGGCGGACGAAATCGAGAAGATACTGTGCCACAAGTTCACGAGGTTCATGATGCGCCGCGCCGAATCCTTCGTCATATTGCGCCGGAAGCCAATCGAGGGCTACGACATTAGCTTCCTCATCACCAACTTCCACACGGAGCAGATGTACAAGCACAAGCTGGTTGACTTTGTGATCAGTTTCATGGAGGAGATCGACAAGGAAATCAGCGAAATGAAGCTGGCAGTGAATGCCAGGGCTAGAACATGCGCCGAGGAGTTCCTCAAGCGGTTCTAGGGTAAGTGCAAGCAGGGCCCCCAGTTGAGTTTGAGAGACCCTAATCACTGGCCTTACATCACACAGGTGGACACACAGTGGTATGCACGCACGCACCCATTTCCAAGTGGATTGAAGAATAAAGACGGATTTTGTATATGTTAAAGTTAAATTTATTAAAAACATTCCTGGGGCTCGCCGCCTGACGATTCGAATCACAGACTTCGGCCGCACCACCACATCACGACGGCATTCTCATAGATCACTTCCTGTGGCTGCTCCTTCGTCTGCTCTGGCTCCACGACGCCCGTACAATCCAGAACGCTGTCATTCACACGGCCATCGTGACCAATGAAATGATATTGGCCCGAGCTAGATGCCAGGATGGGAAGCGTCGGATGGAAACCAACGCCATTGCAGCAGTCATTGTGGAGCGGCAGAGCAGATACTTCTCCATTGCCGTTCATATCCCAGACGTTCAGAGCACCCTGCGTGTCTCCGCTGGCCAGCCATCCCAGGTCGGGCGTCAGATCGAATTGGATGCGCTGATTGGTGTCCACATGGCGCTGGTACTCGCCCAAGGGCTTCTTGTAGTTCCTCATGTCCCACTGCAGCAGCTTTTGGCATTTTCGAGCGCCACTAAACAGCTGCCAGCCCGCAGCACCGTCAGCGTACTTTAGCTGGGTAATCCCAGCCTTGTGGCCACCCAACGTGAAGAGCGGTCCCTGCTTGGGGCTGCAACGCAGGTCAAAGTGCTGGATGTAGCCATGCCAGTTGCCGCAGGTCAACGTATTGGGGTGCTCCGTGGTCTGCGCAATGCACGAGATGGCAAACTTCACCGGATAATCGTCACAGAGGCGGCCAGGTCGGCTTGTGTCGAAGATTTTAATGCAGCGCTTGTAGCCCGCATAGATCTGCTGGCCATCGTGCGAGAAGGCCAATGATATGGCGGCCATAACTTCGTCCACGGCATCATAGCCACTGTAACTGCACCGCAGCTTCCCATCGAAGGCGTCCCACATGTGAATGGGCTCGTGTTGCCGTGTGGCCAGCCAGCTGAATGACGAAACAACGCATCAGTATCAGTTTGGGTTGCAGGCAGAATCAATACGGAATACTCACAAGCAGGTTTCTGGTTGCTGGCTATTCATATGCGGATACCACACGCAGTCATAGACAGTGCCACCCTCGGGCACATGGACTGCAGGCACCAGATTGGTTAGGCCGCGCTCCTGCGGCACTGTTGTGGCGGTGTAAAGGTCCGGAGGCAGTTCCATGACGTGCATTCCATCCAAATGGATGGGGACCAGCAGGCAGGTTCCATCGGGCGACCAATAGCAGCCTTTGGTGTAATGCTGGGCCTCGGCTGAAGATTTCCAGCAACGCCGTCCCACCTCTATGAGTTTGCTTTTAAAATACTCTGGCGGAGCAATCTCTAGAGCTGCCTCTGCCACAATCTCTATGGCCTTCCTCTGCCACAACCGGATCATTTTCGTCTGCCAAAGGCAGATTTGTTAACCACCAGTTGATTGTTTTCCGGCACAATCGCGTGAGGTTCGGCATCGTCTATGGTGTCTTCGAGATTTATGATGGATTCACTCTCCTCTAGGGTGGATGATTCATCCAGCGTGGGCTCCTCATCCAGCGTGGGCTCCTCATCCAGCGTGGTCTGCTCCTCCAGCGTGGTCTCCTCCTGCTTGCTGCTCTGCTCTGTAATGCTGATCGCCTCCCGGACGCTGAGAGCATCGATGCTCATGGACACATCCATGTCCTCACTTGGCCTGGAGTCAGCATCACACTTTGTCTTTAGTTTACATATCTCCGCATCGGTTAAACTGAACGACAGATCCGCGCTTGTGCTTGTCACCATTGTGCTGCTGAAGCTCACGTTGTTATTCAACAGCGCTGAAGATAAGTCCTGCTCGTCCACGTCGCACATGCTGGCGCTTAGATTGGCAGCAGCTGTAAGGATTTTGGTTGGGTTTATTTTTTAATTTTAAAAAGATGCCACTTACACATTGTTGTGGTTCCCGCCGGCAGTGTGGCCGTGACGATAACGATAAAAATACCATCCGGCCAAAAAACAAGGAGCCAGGGCAGAAAAACCAGGGCAATCCGGCGATCAAACGAGACTTAACCCACTTAACACCCCTCTATTTAAAAAGTGGAGCACCCTTTGTTAGCATAAATTGATGTTAAATTTGTTGTTCCAAGCTGCTTTGAAACATTAATACTAAGATTAAAACTAAGATATAGCGTAAGAAAAATACTCGTTTTTTCTCCCTTAAGCTATATGTCAGCCAAATACGGGCAGATCCTTGAAGGACATACTTTTTCATGATCGTGAGGATCCGCACTGTGAATCGGCATAGTGAGATTTAAATCTGCCGTAGAAACATCAAAAGTTCCTTGCTCAGGACATGTAGGTCTGGTCGCCAAAAATCAGGGGAACTAAGAAATGTCGAAGTCAGACAAGAAATAGCCACTTTGGCAAGAAGTTTATAACGTCACGAAAGGCGTTGTATCCTTTTTGTCCTTGATGCCAAACTGGCTGTAAGCTTTCGAGGATACTCTCCCGATCACGAGAAAGTGTGATCGGACGACAAACTAGGGTTTTTTATCGAAGCAGCGGACTGGCAGCAGCGATGCCCGCGCATTTTTAAACCCAGATATATATAAAAAACCACTGCATACTTTTGGGGTTGTCATTATTAAAAAAGTAGTGCATACTTTTAGGATGGTCTAGTCGACGAATATATTACAAAATTGCATGTAAAAGGCGAATCCTTTCAGCCCTGAAGTCCTTGATGGTTTTAAAAATTAAGGAAGACCCTTCCGCTCACGAGGAAATGCGTCACGTCTGGATCGGTTCAGAAATGGCGGAGTTATACGAATTATATCCTTAATCCTTGATGTCCTTGATTCGAAACTGATTGCAAACGATCGGGGAGATTGTCCTGATCACAAAAATGTGTGGCCCGTCCAAATCGGTCGACTAAAAGCTGAGATATAGCGTCACAACGGAAATACTGGTTTTCTCTTTCTGACGCTATATCTCGGCCAAAAAGGGCCAGATCCTTGAAGGACCTACTTTTTCAGGTTCCGGAGGATGCACACTGTCGATCGGCATCAACAAAAACGAGATTCGGCGAATACTGGTTTTCGCAAAAATCATGATGTAACCATCATCATTTTCGCGAAAACCAGTATTTGCCGAATGTCCTTTTTTCGGCTGCCATTGGATGGACAGGACTCTCCTGATTACAAAAAGACATGCCACGCCCAGATCTGCCCCTATTTGACGGAGATATAGCTTGATTAAAAAAAACCAGTATTTTAAATATTTGGCAGCCAAAACTTTGGGACGCTATATCTCGGCCAATTGAGCTCTGATCGGGGCAGGACTTACCTTTCCAGAATCCTTAGGATCCATTCTGACCTTCGGCTATAGTTTTTCCCCGATCAGATGGAGGCGTGGCCCGCCTTGATCAAACTGAAAATGGCAAAGCAATAAAGAATTTTTAGCGGTTCCAAGGCAATATCCTTATTGTCCTTGAAGTCAAACGATAGAGGACTTTAACCCGATCACGAGAAGGCGTGACACGCCCAGATCGGAAAGGAAATGGCAGAGTTATACGCATTTTAAAAAAACGCAATAAATTGCTGCCAGTTTCGTATCGGCCAGCTTTTGACCTGATGTAAAAAAGAAAAACCAGCTACTTTCTGCTGATTTCTGTTCGCCTAGTACTCGGTCTGAAAATTTTCTGGTTTTGGGCCATTTGAGCCTAACAATTTCAAAAAGTTAGTTGCAGAATTGGCCGTCGTTGAACATGGGGCGCCAGTGTGCAATAACGTCGTTTGCACAGTAGCGCCCCCAAAGGTGAACGGCTATTTATGGAACTAACATATTTTAGTTCCAGCACTGGCCGTCGGATATAATGGGGGCGCCACTGTGCAACCCAAAAAATTTGGATTTCGCACAGTGGCGCCCCCAGTTGAGAACGGCTATTTCTGGAACTAACACAAGTTAGTTCTCGTAGTGGCCGTCGGAAATAATGGGGGCGCCACTGTGTAAAAATAGCTTTGGACTTGCACACTGGCGCCCCCACCTTCGACGACGGACAACGCAGGAACTAAAGTATGTTAGTTCACGAAACCGCCGTTCACAGTTGGCGCCACTGTGCAAATTAAAATTTACGGGTTGCACTAAGCGCGAAATTCAAATATGCTGTTTTTGTGTAATTAATTTGAGCGTTATTTAAATCGCTTTAACTCCGCCATTTCTTGACCGATCTGGGCGTGATAAGTGTCCTTGTAATCTCCAGGATGTCCCCCATCGTTTGGTCTTAGATCTTATCGTGATCAGAGCAGCATCCTTGATGCAGTCCTGAAGGTAGTAGAGACCATTTCCCAAAAAATAACCGGGATTTTTTATATTTTAATTGAATTTATATTTTAATTTGTTTGTATATAAAAATATGTAATATATGTAATAATGTATATAAACTAAGACATAAAAATAAACTAAATACATATGTACAAATGTTGAAAATTGGTAGCAGCAAGATCTTACAGCTATTTAGAGCTAAAATTGTTTTAGGTATATCTAATCTAATATGAATCTTCATATATGTATATGTACAAATTTATTTGTGTGCTTGGGAAACATTTTGGATCTGCTTTAGTACTCGGCTGCGATGGTGCCAGAAATCTCATATGTAACGTCCGAAAAGGTTTGCGGCTCCATTGGAGTCTAGACTGCCGCAGTCCGACTTCTTGCTGCGCCTCCGAGTAGTTGGCAGTCTGCTGCAGGCGTATCAGAATATTGAGCTGTGGGAAGAAAAACCAACCAAACTTTAGTACTTGAAAAAAAAACAACGATATTCAAGAGGAAACTCACCAAAGGATCGTAGATCTCTGCTAGTACCACATCCTCGTAATTGATCTCTCTCAGCGGTGGCTCTGAGTCGGGTCCGAAGAGTCAGAGATACGAATGAAGACGCGAATGAAGGCAAAATTATTATTCCAATCCTAGGCACGGCGCCTATGGAGATACGACCAGGCAGGACGAAAGATAGAGGGGACAGGACAGCAAACAGAGGCAGCCAATGGCCAGATCAAGGTAGCTTCGGACGTGAGGTCCTTTTCCAGCTCTACCTTTGACGGTTTTAAAGCGACTATCCGTAAAAATCTGAAAATAGCATTGGAATTAGTTACTTTTTCAGGGGTTTTTCATGGCATGACTTACATGCGCTAAGGGCGCCTGCATCCTCCAATTTTTTGTTGATCCAGGCAGGCGCTCAGCAGATGTAGCCCAGATCTTTCGTCGCTTTGTGGCTCACGCTGCAAGAGAAGAGAAGTGAAGATTAGATTCGAGTGTTTGCCATAATCAAAACACTTTTGTGGCAAATGCCATTTGCACACTTTCAATAATCCAAAACTAATATTTTGAAATAAGATAAATCGACAGCGAAAGACAACGAATATGGATGGTCATTCGGAACCAGAATCTCCCGGGAATAGCGTCGGGGCAATAAGCCTCAAAGGCTTTGATAACTTCAAGGAAATGACCATTGGCAGGCCGATCTGCATTATGCCGCCCCGACCAGGCACTGCGGTGATGAACTACCAGGAGCTGTACATACCACGCGACCAGCTGACCTCCGTCTTCTATCCCATCGAGGAGGCACAGCGCTGGCTCACATTGGTCGACAAAATGGGAAAGTCGCACCGCTTTCCCCTGCCGGCCATTCTGCCGAAGGTGATTCAGACGCGCTATGTGCCCAAGCGGCATCTGCCCAAGGACGTGGAGGTGGACCGTCGCCGGCGGCAGTATCAGAAGATCAATCTCACCGAGGAACTCTTGCGGGCGGGCCTCACCGACGAGGTGCTGCAGCCGACCGAGGAGCAGTACAACGTGATGTCGGAGTTCGCCTTTCCGCACAAGTTCCCCCTGAGCTACTTCGATGACAGCAACTATGACATCAATTCGCCGGCGGCCTGGTTTGAGCTGGGCGTGGTCGGAGAGGCGCACTATCCGCTGCCGGCGAAGGCGTACCTGCCGTTCAACCGGAGCCTGCTCAACTGCCAGTGGGTGTTGGCTTCCGTTTCGGCGTACAACGAAGATGCGGACCTCTGGACGCTGCTCTCCCTGGAGGATGGCTGCACCTACGAGGTGCCCAAGCTGCAGTTCATGTTCCTCGCCGAGGATCCGCACAAGTACATCAGTCGGCTCAAGGCCGCCATTCACGAGCGCTACAAGGGCGAGCAGCTGATGCTGATGGAGCTGATCGTCGACTGTGTGCTGCACGAGGACATCGAGTCGACGGTCTTCTACAGCTTCAAGCCCATCGAGGCCGTGCTGCAGGCGGCCAAAGTGTCCGAGCAGTGCAAGCGACGCCTCCGGTCGGAGGTGAATTTGGTCTTTGAGCGCCTGATGGCTCTCTACGAGCTCGAACAGTTCATCATTAAGATGCCCAAGGAGTTTCCCCAATTCCGCAACATTAATCTCAAGGAGTTTCTGCCGCGCGACTTCCACAATGACATATCCGCGCGGGAGCGGGCCGAGGTGCAGGCCCTGGGCATCACCATGACGACCAAGCGCTACGATTACCTCAAAGCGAGTCTCTTTTACTGTGTGGGCGGCATCGAGGCGATGGCCGGTGTGGCCATCGAGTGCCAGCACATCGAGACCATGTCCATATTCATCTGCAACTTTAGCAAGCCCCTGGCACTGGTGGACTTTCTGCAGTCGCAGGAGGCGCACAGCGACAATGTGGCCACCTATCTGAAGGTGTACTGGCCCCAGCAGCTGACCTCGGTCATCACCGTGGTGCTGCGGGCGCTGGGCAAGGGCTATCTGGACATTTCACTGCACCAATGGACCGTGTATCTGATGTGCAAGATCTCCACGTTCATACTGCAGGTGAAGTTCCGCATGCAGGAGTCCATGGAGGTGCTGCTGGAGACATCGCTGATGAACTTCTCGCACTTTGTCTGCGATCCCTGCCTGCAATTCCTCAAGCTCAAGTCCAACTACAAGTGGACCAGCAACTACATTGACACGGAGTTTCCCTTCCACAAGCCCGTCTTTGCCATGACCCTGGGCATCAATGAGGAGCGCAAGGTGTTCTACTCCACCGATCCCGATGAGTTCCAGCCCTCGCTGATGGACATCTACAAGCGGGGACTGGAGAAGACCTCGGGCGTGCGCATGATTGACGCGTCGGTGATGACCTTCCTGAAATTCGCACCCAATCTGTATATACTGACGGTGGAGCTGATTGAGGATAAGTTTCTGATCGAGAACGAGCTGATGCGGCAGTGCTATGCCAAGGCGGTGCTGCCGCTCAAGGCGTACGCGCGCATGTACGAGAGATTCATTGATTTCTATCTGATGAACGTCAACCATTATATGGTGAGCTATGCGGCGGCCAAGAAGCCCTCCTCGGAGGTCAAGCGGGACATACTCGAGCACAAGCGCCTGAAGGAGGAGCTGCGTGTGATACTGCCCGCCTTCATTACCATCGGACCCTTCTACATCAACGTGGACACGCTGAAGCAGTTCCTCATCAAGAAGCGCATCGATGTGGTGCGTCGCATTTTCGAGTACTACGTGGATCGCATGTTCGAGACGAACGAACTGCTGCTCGAACGCTGCCTGGAGGTGTTCAACAAGATTGCCGAGCGACCCATCAGCATCGAGCATTTGTACAGCATTCGGGACTTTGCGGCCACGGTGCCCGATGTGGTCGAGCAGCTGCGCGCCGACATACAGATCATGTGGCTGGAGTACGATCTGCTGGACAGTTTCTTCTACAATTTGAGCGATCATCAGTTTGCCATGAAGTGGAACGTGTACGCCTGGCCGCACCAGATCCTGGTGCGTCTCTCCACCCTCAAGGAGGAGCAGAAGATCGACATTGAGGAGTTCCTGCGCCAGCATGCCAGCGAGTGTCAGGCGTTTGAGGAGCGTCTCGAGTCGCTCAACGATGAGATTCAGGCCTTCTCCCTGGTCTTCAATACGAATCGCGCCCAGGAGACATCGGTGGACATCAAGAAGACCTGGGCACTGATCAAAGAGCTGCAAAAGGTCAGCCAGACGTTGCAGTATCGCCAGATGCTGTTCGAGCTGGAACCTCTCTCAGTGGAGTTTCTCCAGAGCATCATCGAGAGCTTTTCGCCGTACAAGCAGCTGTGGTACGCCTGCTCCAACTTCCTCAAGCTGGAGGAGGCCACGCTGGGCAATCCGATAGCCCAAGTGGAGCTGGAGGAGGTGTGGAACAACCTGGAGGAGTTGCGCGGCGAGCTCAAGGAGTCCATGGTCATATTCAACGAGAAGCCCGAGATTATGGAGGTGGCCCGCGTATTTATAGGCAAAATCGACGAATTTGTGCCCGTCTACAACAGCATCAGGGATCTGCGCAACGAGAACTGGATGTACGTGCACTGGGTGGAGCTGAGCCAGGTGGTTGGCACGGAGATCAAGTACACCATTTCGATGAACTATCAGTATCTGATGCGCAAGGGCATCCTCGATTTTCTGCCGCAGGTGCATTACATCTCGGTGAAGGCGGACAACGAGGCCGAGAGTCTGCGCGCAGCGCTCGAGGAGGAGGAGCGCCAGAGGCAGGCCGAGCTGGATGCCATTCTGCTGCGCAAACAGTTGCGCAAGTGCCGCAGGGATATACTCTAAGCTTTACTTGTTGCTCTTTTACAAATGTTTATCTAAATTAAATATTCCCTCATCGCCAGGGACGTGCTTTGAATGTCCTTCAGGGCCAGCCAGAGCAGCAGCATCAGGGCCACCACGATGCGATGGGCGATCAGAGTGGCGGCCCCGTTCGGTCGACTCTTTTCGAGATTGTAGAACATAGCCGAGACGCCCAGTGGCAGCTCCACCAGCTGTTCGCTGCCATCGAACTCCAGGTCGTGTCGCTGCCCCAGCACGAGTCGGGCATGCTGCAGGACGCTCTGATGCGGCACACGGCCCTCGAGCAGGGCCAGATCGGCCACATGGAACTCGTAGCTGACGCTCAGGAACATGTTGCGGCAGCTCAGACTCTGCTGCGCCTCATCGTAGTATCCCAGCACCGGAGGCACGTCATGCGCGTTCTCCCCGAAGTGCAGCTGTATGGGGATCCAGCGCTCCGGCTGCGGTCTGCCCAGCTGCGACACAAACACCTGATTCATCTCCTCCAGGCTGCTGCAGTTGTGGGGCAGCAGCTTCCTCCAGATCTCCGCCTGCAGGCGCTGACAGAACTCCGTCTGATTGGCATTGGCATTGGCATTCTCTTGTGGTGCTTGAGGTGCTGCCTGATGCAGCAGACACTGCTGGGCCAGATCCACTCCGAAGCGCAGCACCTGCGTTTCATCCAATTTGCGTTGACAGTTGCCGCTGCGAGGCTTCCGGGAGAAGAGCGGCAGCCAGTGGTAGTCCGGATCATCGTTTCGGGCATGAAAGTAGCTGAGCAGCTGCTGCTCCTCGCTGCTGTTCTGTGGCAGCATTCTCGAAAGGATTACAGGTGCGCCAGCCAGGTAGCCCAGTGGCCCAGAGCTGGGCTTGGCCAGCGATTCATTTGCAGTGGCAAATGTCACCGCGTAGTGCAGCCAAATGGGCTCCGTGTCATCCTCTGCGGCAGCAGCTTCCTTGATCAGCAGCTTCGCCGCCAGAATGTTTGTGAAATTGTGAATCAGCTGCAGTTCCAGCCTCTCCACGGGCATATCCCCCGCCCACTGGGTGTCGTTGCCTGGCTCGGCGCACAGCACTCTTCCGCTGTCCAACTGCTGACAGACTTGTATTTGGACTGCCTCCACCTGCTGCTCCTCCAAGTCCCTCGGCTTCGGCAGCAATTGGTGGCTGGCAGTCAGATTGAGCAGCGCCCACACACTCTCCTGCAGCTGGGCCTCATCTCTCATGCGGCAATTGCTGGCCAGCGGCTGCAGGTGTCGAATCAGCTGCTTCAGGTGGCACTGGGAGCCCTCGTAGGCCGTGGGCAGATCAAAGGTGGTCGACTGCCTGCTCTCTGGGTGCCACAGTTGCAGCGGTTCGCCCGATTTGTACAGCGTGGACGGGGCTGGCGGCCCTATGGCCTCCGTTTCGTAGGCGCCCAGTGGATCGGGCCATTTCTGGTACTGCGAGGCATCAAAGTTCCTGATGAGCGGCTTCATTTTGGCCGGCTTTGTGTTGCTGCGAAAGACACACAGCCAGCCGTCGTTGATCTGGCAGGTGGGCAGGCCGTGGGTGTATTGAAAGTCCTCCAATCTGGAGAGCAGCTGCGGCGCAGCCAGCACCTTCAGGCAGCTGAACACCTGCCTGGTCTCGGTGGGGCAATCGCGATCACAGCAGCAGTTCAGATCGCACATCTCCGAGCGCAGGTCACAGGAGCAGAAATAGAACGAATCGTCGGGAAAGTTCATGGGTATCTTGGGCGTAGTTTCAGTGGCATTCAAAGGCTGTGCCTCAGCAGTGGCAGCTGCCTCTGCCTCTGCCTGGGCAGCTGTTGTGCTGGCCTGTGTTGGTGCAGCTGTGGCACTGGGCTTTGGTTGTGGTCGTGGCGGAAAAGTCTGGCTGGGCGTGCTGGTGGCCAGCTCTGGCAGGGGGCTCACGGAGCTTTCAGTCATGTAGGATACAGCCGATACAGCAGGTACAGCAGGTACAGCAGGTGTGATTGTGGTGGCAGGCTCCACTGTGGTTGGCGGTGTGGCCGTGGCCGTGGCCGTGTTGTTGTAGCTGTGTGAGATGCCAATCTTAATCGTGTGGCTGGGGGCGCTGATCAAGCAGAGGATCGTCAGCAGCAGCCGTAGCTTCTCCATTGCTAATGGAACTCCACGCCGTATTCCTCGAATTTGCGAAAGATCAAGTTGAGATCGGCAATGATCTTGCCCGAGCTGCGTGTCTGCAGCTTATAACTGGAAAAGGAGATGCAAACCCTTGGAATTACAGGCACATAAATCAGGTGTCAGGTGTCTGTTCACTTACCGCTCCACGCCCGAGAATAGCAAATCTGTTTTGCTGAGCGATGCACCGCCGCCGCCGAAGCGCTCGCGTATGCTCTGCCACCAGCCGTTGGGTGCCACCTTCCAGGTGTTTATCTGCAGACGATGGGCGCCGGGCGTGCACGGTATGTGGGCGAAGCCGTAGCCAACGGGCCACGACTGCTGCAGCACATTCACCGCGTGCACCTCCACCAGCAGTGTGGGCCAGCCCTGAATGGAGGCGCTGCTCAGGTGTATGTCCAAGGGCGCCGCAAAGTCAGAGCAGCTCTCCAGGCGGTTCGATGAGACGTGCGTTTGGCCGTGTAACTCGCCCTGAATCAAGCGCCAGGCGCTGCCTTTAATTGGATTGGTTTAAATATATAAATTTATTGATCGCTGGAATTTGTGTGGTGTGGTGTGGTGTGTTGTGTTGTGGCATACCGCTCTGCAGTGTCCACGTGCAGTAGAGATGCGGCTCGTCGAAATCAACTGCTTTCAATATTTGTCCAATTATGTGCACTTCCGCCATCAATTGAGATCAGGTTTCACTTCTGCAATTGCTCAGTACGCCGCATTAATTGAGTTTAATATTTTCAGTGGACTTTTCACTCTCCGACAGTTGCTTTTTGCTTTTTCCTTTTTCTTTATTTTATGTTTTGGCAGTTGGTCGTTGCCCCTGACAACCCTTTAACACCCCACTCGAAAAGTGAGCTGCCAACTCGTGCGGAACGGCCTAGGAACTGGTTCGTAGTTCGTGGTGGTTCGGGGTTCGTGTTTGCTGGTTCCTGGCACCCTGAGGTTCGCTTGGAGGGTTGGTTAACTTGTCGTAAAAACATTTATTTGTATTTAATTGACTGTTAATTTGAAATGGATGGAATGGCTCCACTTGGTTGCTGCCACGGCAGCAACTGGCTGGATCTTTTACTACTTGCTCGTGAACCAGGGATCCTCCTTCACCTGCGGCACATTATATCGAATCTTGACGGGCGCCAGCACATGCATTATCATGTGCTTGCACTCACTGGTGGCCGGCGGGGTCTTGGGGAACACCAGCGACTGGTTGATGCGCTTCAGCAGTATGTGCACGTTGGAGCCGTCGTAGGGCAGGCGGCCAAAGACCATGGCGTAGCAGACGACGCCACAGGCCCAGATATCGGACATAAAGGGATCGTAGGCAACGCCTACGGGTGCAGTGGGATGGGGGTGGTAATTAATGGATAAATACGGCGCTGTGGTGTGGTGGGGTGGGGTTGTGCTTTTACCCTTAAGTATCTCGGGACTGGCGTAGGCGTAGCTGCCACAAAACGTTTTCGAGAGCACCACCTGATTGTCGGAGGAGCGCGTGTCCTTGCGTGCGAATCCGAAATCGATTAGCTTCAGATTCCAGTCCTCGTCCAGCAGCAGATTCTCGCACTTGATGTCCCGATGGACCACGCCCTTGCTGTGTATATACTCGACGGCGCTGATCAGCTGCCTGAATAGCTTCCGTGACTGCGTCTCGTCCAGGAACTTCTTCTCACGCACATAGTCCAGCAGTGTGCCATTCTCTGCCAGCTGCATAATTAAATATACTCTAGGGGGTGGGTAGGCGGGGTAGATGAGGAAGGGAAGGTAGTGGTATGGGAAGGGGCTGCCTTCCTACCTATGACTCGTCTCTATGCTCTGATAGAAGGTTATCAGATTGTCATGGTGCAGTCCCTTCACCGCCTCGATTTCGCGCGGCAGAAACTTTTGCGTGTACTCCGGCGGTGCCTTGACCTTCGAAATGATCTTGACGGCCACCCGCTTGCCGTACTCCTCGGAGAAGCCGATCTTGACCTTCGCATAGTTGCCGGTGCCAATCACCTTGCCCAATATGATGCCATGCTCCTCGAGTATCGTCTTCTGTGGCTTGGCCTTCTCATCGACTTTGGCCGGAACGGCACCGCCAGAGGGACTGGTCTTGGCCTGCTGCGGCGGCTTCTCGTTATTGAACGTGTACACCTTCTGCTCCTGCCGACGCCCCGAGTTCGTATCAGTGGCCAGATCCTGGGAAGAACTTGCACCAATCACTGCACCACACCCCACCCCCACCCAGCCAGCGCGGTAGTAAATATCAGAATTATTTTTAAGGGTCTTAAGGTTCATTGTTTACCTGCGCCTGGGTCGCCTTTTCGTTTTGGGGCTGTCGCCATTTAAAATGGTACCACAAATTCCGCCTAGCAACGTGCCCCAGGCTGTTGCCGATATATATAACGGGTGCGCTGCTGCCGTGCAACAACCAAAGAATCATTGAAAATAGTACATATTCCGGCTACGAACATCAATTTTGATAGACAGTTATTTCAATGTTAATTAGAGACTTTAACGTAAAATTTAAATTAAAATAAATTAAAATAAAAAAATAAAATGAAAATAAATGTCTTACAGGTTTAATTTCCTCGCTGGTATTGTCCGCCCCCCCCCTGTTGCTGGTAACTGGCGAATGAGTAGAAGTTTTTTTCACCCTGAAAGGAGAGAGAGAGAGAGAGCGGAGCACAGGTTAAATGTTTATTTAATTGAATTAATATGCCATAGGCGCCTGGCGCCTGTCGCTTGGTGCTGCCGCTGCCGCTGCCGCTCTGGCGGTTGCCGTTGTGTAATCAGTCACCACACACCGCCACCCACAGCCCAACAGCCCAACACAGCCTAGAGGGCCTTCAAAAGCTTCTTCTCCTTCTGCTACTGCTGCTGCTCCTGCTGCTGCTGCTGCTGCTCCAGCTCTCTGTATGGAATGTGTGCGTGTGGGTCGGTTCCAACTTTTCCATCGCGTTCACTTTTTGCTGTCCACTCGGAGAGGCCACCGCCACCGCCACCTTCTCCTCCTCTCACTGCTCCTCCTTGCCCCCAGGCATTGGTTACCTACCTACATTTTTACTTAACTTTCATCGCTCTGCCGTGTTTGAGTTTTGGTTTATGAAATTTTAACATTTTTCGCATTACTTTGCTCCAAGTCAGAGAGGGAGAGGGGGGGGGGGGCTGGGGCTGGCGCACAGCACATTTTTAAAGTAGCTTAAGGTCATTCGAGCGGTTGGTAAATTTCAATTGAAATGCGGACAACGCCAACTGCAAATACACTTCCACTTCCCCACTTCCCCACTTCTCCACTTCCCCACTCGCTTGACTCCGTCTTGGCGGCGCTCGTTTGAGGCACTTTCTCGGGGCTCCCTCTCTGTCTGTGTGTGTGTGTGTGTGTGTGTGTGTGTGTGTGTGTGTGTGTGTGTGTGTGTGTGTGTGTGTGTGTGTGCCGTGTGCAAGTGAAATTTTTTTGTGTTTCATTTAAAATTGAAATGTAGCCGTAGGCGGCACAAAGTCGCCTGCAATTGGCAGAGTGGAATTTAATACGGGGGCAACCCAACTGTATCCGACAGCAGCAGCCACCCTGCCACCCAGCCACCCAGCCACCCTGGCCCCTGCCCATCTTGTTCACGCTTCTGTATTACATCAAATATTTATAATTTCATAATGAAAAAGAGCAGCCTGCCAAAGATAATGCGAGCAGAGCACAGGGGGCACACGGGGCATAGGGGGCACAGGGCATACCCTTTCGGAGCAGCTTACGCAAATGTGCTCTCAGCAGAAATGTGTCAGCAGCAAATTCCTTTCTACTCATCAACTGATTCACCCTGCTGGTTGGGCCCTGTAGTTGCAGCCTAGATTGGGGGCAGGGTTGGGTTGGTGCTACATCTAACCACTTGTTAAGGCAGCACTAAAGAGCATATCCTGCTCGACTTGATGTTGCCAATTTTTAATGTGTCTTTGTTTTTTTTTTCTTGTCTCTCTGTGCAGGTCACCTGACTGGCTGGGCTGCCTGGGCTGCCTGGATGCCTGCGCCTGGCCACCTTCCTGGCCTGGTCGGAGCTCTGTCGGAGCATGCATGTTAATGTCCCGCCATTACGTTGATTTCACAATATCCTTGCACATCCTGTCCGGAGCACTGGAGGCAGCAGCAGCAGCAGCAACAGCAGCAGCAGCTCAGCTCGGCTCGGCTCGGCTCGGGGTTTTGCACTCCGCAACTCTGCACGGCAATGTCAAAATTGTTTGTGGCAGTTGCCACCGCAGTTGCGTTGCCTGCCAGCGGAAATGCCGTTGCAATGGACACAGAGAGAGAGAGAGTGGGAGAGAGAGAGAGAGAGGGTGTGGAAGGGAGGCAGATGGAGTTGCTGCAGGGGCTGCAGGCTGCTGGGGGCAGTCGCCTTTTGTGGCACACGCAAAACTGACAAAACAGCAAAAATGACAACTGAAATATGCGACGCTGTGCGAAATTTGCGAGCAAGCGACACACACAGAGAGAGAGAGAGAGAGAGAGAGCGAGTCATAAGGCAGCTTCCAGGCTTGAGGCTTGAGGCTTCAGGATCTGAGCTCTGAGCTTTGGGCACTGGCATGGATCCTGGGCCCTGGCATTGTGGTTTGTGTGTCATCATCAGGATGCAATCGCCATTAGAGGTACCCGTAACAGGTTACTGGTACTCCTCCTCCGTCACCTCCTCCTCCTCCTCCTCCACGTGATTGTGCAATTGCCGTGTGATTTAAACATAAATTAATAATTATCTGCCTTGCTCGTGGTTGCTGCTCCTCAAGTTTGCTGTCACATTTCATCATGTGGAGACACTTTCGACACTCCTGTGGGTAGTGGCAAGCGGCTGCTGCAGTCCGGATGATAAAGAATTTCGGTACAGGAGAAATATTTCTTGGTTTATCCTGCTGCTGCTGCTGCTGCTGCTGCTCCTTTCACTTCCGTACTTCTCTCTCTCTCTCGCCTTACATTTATTGCCGTGTTTGTGCATAATGAAGCAAAGTCCATTGTTGCGGTCAGTTCTGGTTTTGCTCTCTCCCTCTTCCTTTTGGCCACTCTGCTTCTCCTTCTGCTTCCCTCCAACATGCAGCTGAAATGGTCATTCATTTGCGGTAATGCGTGGTCACCACATGCCACGCCCTTCCGCCCTGCCGCCCCATCCGCCTACCCCTTTCTGGTATGGAATTCTGCTTTTGCCGTTTTTCACTTTTTTCCCTCACTCACTCTTTCTCTCTCTCTCTCTCTGTCTCTGCCTGTCTCTGTGCATTTCCCTTTTGCTGTTATCTGCTGCTCCCCGCTTCGTTTGTCCTGTCATTAACATGACTCTTCTGGACGTTGCTTGCATATTTTCCTTGTTTATACCCTCTCACATAAGGGCATCATAATTATGGCAATGCCATCAAAGACGAATTATAATAGGTTGATCCATTCAAGTGGATCTTTTCGAGGATTTTGGCAGAAGAATTCAACATAAAACCTGAGAGTGGGGCAAGAATTAGAAGCAATGATCCACGGCCACAGAGCACGGAATATTCATATACAATTAGCTTGATTCCCTTGCCATTACCACAAAGAATCTAAAGACTGGAAATTAATATTATTTCTGGAAATATTTCTGGAATTATTTGTGGAATTATTTCTGGAATTATTTGTGGAATTATTTGTGGAATTATTTGTGGAATTATTTGTGGAATTATTTGTGGAATTATTTGTGGAATTATTTGTGGAATTATTTGTGGAATTATTTGTGGAATTATTTGTGGAATTATTTGTGGATTATTTTGTATTCTGGAATTATTTGTGGAATTATTTGTGGAATTATTTCTGGAATTATTTCTGGAATTATTTGTGGAATTATTTGTGGAATTATTTCTGGAATTATTTGTGGAATTATTTGTGGAATTATTTGTGGAATTATTTCTGGAATTATTTGTGGAATTATTTGTGGAATTATTTGTGGAATTATTTCTGGAATTATTTGTGGAATTATTTGTGGATTATTTGTGGAATTATTTGTGGATTATTTGGTTATTTTGGAATTATTTGTGGAATTATTTTGGAATTATTTGTGGAATTATTTGTGGAATTATTTGTGGAATTATTTGTGGAATTATTTCTGGAATTATTTGTGGAATTATTTCTGGAATTATTTGTGGAATTATTTCTGGAATTATTTCTGGAATTATTTGTGGAACTATTTCTGGAATTATTTCTAATATTCCTCCCGCTTTTGTGGCACATCAAAGTGTAGCCTTCGCTTCGACTTGCATTAAATATTACCTTCGTTCTTTTGTTTGCACTGCTGTTTATTAAAAAATTATTAAAAAGAGAGACAAGCGAGAGAGAGGGAGGGAGAGACAAAAGAGAGTCAAAAGAGTGGAATGTAAGAAGAAACTTTAATGCTGTCCAGCCATAATCGCAATGCAAATCTTTGTGCCACTCGAAGCGAGGCGAACAGAACGGAAATGAAATGAAAATAAAATAAAATGAAAGAAGCGACTTGCAGAAATGTTAAAAAAAGGAAAGAAGGACAAACCATTTGTAAGATGAGATGAGATGAGATGCGTTGGAGGCAATGGCAAGCAAACTTGAGGCAATGATTACTTAATGAGAACTCTGCCGGGCGGCTTGTGTGTTGTGTGTGTCTCCTTTGTCACTCTGATCTATAAGAGCTCTCTGGAATAACACAGAAAAACTGGCAGACGACACATATTTATCCAAGAATAATTTCATGTCCAATAACAGTTCAATTTCCGACTAAAATATTATGCCTTGAGCGCCTCTCAGCTGCTGCTCTCTCTCTCTCTCACACTAAATAGAAAAGAGATTCTAAAAATACAAACGAAATATTGTGGCTACTTTTGAGGCGACACACACACACAGGGAATGCCCACAAAACTGGGCAAAAATTGTGGGTTGAAAATGCAGTGAGGAATATTGTAATCCCAGTGCTGAAAGGGCAGAGGCAGAGACAGAGACAACATAACTTCTTCTGGCATAATAAAATAATATTTTGGCTCAAGTCCAAGGCAAAAACAAAGCCAAACAAGCTAAGAAACAAGAGCAACAGCAACGACTAAGCTGCAGCAAAGTGGAAGGGGCAGCAGGATGTACAGGGTCCAGAGACCAGATGAAGTAGACCGCCTCTACTTGCCAAGGGTTTTGGCTGGGGGCTGGGGGCTGGGGACTGGGTCCTGAGGTTTGGGGTTTTTCGAATCCAGAGTCTTGTGGCCATGACAGCGACCAAAGTAGCAGAAGTCAAGTGCCTGAATGTCCTGTGGGGCGCATTCTCTGGGGCCGGGTCCAGCCTGTCAAGTTCAAGGATTTAAAAATGTTAAACAGAACTCTGAACTGGACCAGGGAACTGGGGTATTCCTACCCAAATAATGATATTGTATTGGGTTAGAAGTCCCCACCCACCCCCACCCCCAGTCACTGTCCCCAGTCCCTGTTCCAAACCCCTTGCCTGGCATTTGTGGAGGCTTCTTCCTGTCTGGCAGTCGGTTGCCTGTC